GGCGCGTCGGAGGAGGGACAAGGTAGCAGCAATGCAGAGGAAAGGGAGGAAGGTGGGAACGCGTCGTTGCACCAGGAATGCAGGGAGGAGGATGGGAAGGTCTGGGAGGCATCCAGTGCGCGTCCCGACTGAGAAGCTAACGAAGCGGGGAGCATTCTCGGGGTGGAGACCGTGCCAATCGAGTTGGCTCCAGAGCAACTAGACAACGAGAAGGAGGAGGATGCCTGTTAGAAAATTAGGCACTTTCATGGTCAATTTAATCCAGAAATAAAACATCAGTAGGTTCGTGATGACATATATGTGTATGTGTATATCTCTAATAAACGCTACAACATGCAAATATGATATCTTGATCGATCTGATGAAATGTACGCAAAATCTCAGATCACAGAGATAAGAGTGTACCGAGCGGAGGGTCCCATGCCGAGGACATCAGAGGCTTCATTCGCACCAGACATAGTGTGTTGCTCGAAGTTGTGGACCACAGTCGATGCAGATAGATGTTCGCAATGCAGTCCCTTGAACAATCACCAGGAAGAAGACAGGTTCCGCGAGCGATCACCTAGAAGAAGACGTCGGACGAGCAGTCGTGGAATTGCCCCCCAAAAACCTAATTACCGCACACCCCGTGCAAGGTTCACAGGCGGACGAGGGTTCTGGAGGCAACTGCTCTCCCACTACTCCGTGCGTGCAGACATACGAGACGGGGAAAGGCAAAGGGCAGCTGAGATGTGGTCTCTCGGAAGCGAAGGAGGAGGGGAGAATGACGGAGAACTTTCTGTTTTATGCCTGCGGCCGGGAGGGAGAGAGCCAGCGGAGGAATTCAGGAGTCGGAGACACGGAGAGATTGATGAATCGGGCGCAATCAACTCGCCTCCACCATCAAGGAGAGAAACTCCTATAATTATGTGGATTAAGTGGCAAAACACAGCCACGTCCGCGCGTCCTTCGCTTCACCTTACCTACCTTACACGCCTCGGCCTCGGCCCCGCACCCTGCCCACGCCCGGCCGGCCAAGGCGATCTTGCGTGCTGCGTGTCTCCTTTGTCCTTTTCTCAGCTTCTCAATTAAGATGGATAATTTCCAACCAAATAAGTTGGGTAAATGTTCAGTCAAAATCCCATACAGTATTAAACCATACAACGCTTAATGTTACGTACCATAGAGTTTTATTTGATTTATTAAATATTATACGGGCCAAGCCCATAATATATCAACAATCCCCATCAAACTCTAGGGTTTGTAACAAAGTAGTCTCAGAACCACATTTCTTTTATATACCAGTGTTTCGATGGAGACTGTTAAGTTGAACATCCATCTAGAGCAATAGTTTCACTTAGTCACAACTGAACAATGGACTAAGCCTTGATTTGACAGTTTTATGTGAGATGAATGTCACTAAAGTCCTTAGCTGATACTAGGCTGCAAAAGGCATCCCCTATATTTGAAGCATATAAGTCATACTCCAGTGCTTTTTATGAATATTTAGAGATCACCCAAATCTCATAGACTGTGACCAGCAGTCTAACTCATATAGGTGTGTTCCTCAAAAGATGTTCTGTAGGACAACATCTTTGCTTTAACAAGCCACTTGAAACACATTAAGGTAAAAACTAACCTACCTTACAGAAAGAAAAGATATGCATAAAAAATAAGTCTTACTAAGGATCTTTCCTCATAATTTACTACTAGCTTGTTTCACCATCCTACTTCACGGGATCTCCAATTACATAGAACAGGTTACCACTATAGTAAATTTCATCTGGGTCTCAAACCCATCTCTCTCGATGCACTTTCTATCACATTGCGTGATAGATCCTTAGTGAACTGATCTGCCAGATTGTTAGACGAGTGAACATAGTCCAACGTTATTACTCCGGAGTTTCTCAATTTTTCTAACAGATTTTAGTCGTCTCTTAACATGTCTTGTAGACTTCATGTTATCCTTAGAACTGTTAACCTTTATAATCATAGTCTGGTTATCACAGTTGATAGAAATAGCCGGTATAAGTTTTTCAACAATCGGTAAATCCATAAGGAGATCACGAAGCCACTCGGTCTCAAAGCCAGCGGTGTCTAATGCTGTGAGTTCTGCTTCCATTGTAAACTTCATGTTATCCATTGTAAAAAAATGTAAGGTCTTTAGATTCTATGATTGTATCAACAACTATCTTAGAAATACTAGAATATATAATTAAAAATCTATAACCCACGTTGTGAATAGCATAACTAAAAAAACACAATCAACAGTCTTTGGTCTAAGCTTTCGCTTTTTGTTTATTGGCACATTCACCTTTGTCAAACAACTCTAAGTTCGCAGGTAGGAGAGATTTAATCTTTTCTTCTCCAATTTCTTGAATGGTGTAATTTCTTTGTTCTTTGTGGACACCCTATTCAGGACATGACACGCTGTCAATATAGCCTCACCCCACCATTCCTCGGATAGTCCCGCAGTCTCTAACATGGCATTAACCAAATCAGTTAGAGTGCGGTTCTTTCTCTCTGCAATCCCATTGGACTGTGGTGAGTATGGTGACGTCCTCTCATGAATAATTTCATGCACCGCGCAAAACTCAAAAAATTCATTTGAGAAATATTCCCCTCCACGATCGGACCGCAAACGTTTGATTTTCATGTCAAGTTGATTTTCTACCTCAGCTTTATAGACTTTAAAATAATGCAACGCTTCATCTTTAGTTTTCAATAAATACACGTTGCAAAATCTAGTACAATCATCTATAAATATCATGAAGTATCGTTTATCGTCTTTAGTCAATTCGCCATTCATTTTGCATAAATCAGAATAAACGAGTTCTAATGGTGCCCAGTTCCTCGCCTCAGCAACCTTGTGAGGCTTGCGCGATTGCTTTGATTGCACACACACCTGGCACTTAGAATCTTTGACTAAGTTAAATTTTGAGATTAAATTTAGATTTACAAGCCGCGTGAGACAACCAAAATTAATGTGACAAAATCATAAATGCCATATATTCGACTCATCCGAAATATTAACATTGTTCACTACTTTATTACACACATCATCAAGTAAAGATAAGCGGAACAAGCCTCCGCAATCATAACCTTTTCCAACAAATGTTCCATGTCTCGGCACAACACACTTATTGGACTCAAGCACAATTTTAAAGTCATCGCGACACATTTGAGAACCGCTAACCAGATTCTTCTTGATGGAGGGGACATGATGCATGTTCTTTAATAGCACCGCATTTGCCAAAGTAAACTTCAGAACGACCGTACTAGCACCAAGAACATACGCATGCGAACCGTTTCCCATAAGCAAGGCTCCAGTCCTGCCGGCCTGATAGGAAGTAAACAAATAAACATCAGCACACACATAAATATTAGCACCGCTATCCATCCACCACTCAGGTGAAAGACAAACTGAAAGAACAAAAGGTAAATAATTACCATACCTAGATGTTCCTCCTCTAGTCTCGCTAATCACCACGTTTGCTGATTTCTTTTCTTGATTATATTTACGGTTTGGGCACGCACTTGCCCAATGCTCATCACTCCCGCAAACAAAGCAATCTCCACCTTTTTTGTTGTTTTTCTTCTTAAACTGAGCAGTTTGCTTAGGCTTTGTATTGTTGTTCTCTTATATGTTCTTCTTTTTTATTATGGGATGCAAATAAGTTTTTCTTCTGCACCATATTGACAGCGAAAGACTGAACTCCTTTTCCACGGTTATCTTTTGCTCTCGCCCTCTCCTCAACATCAAGAGATCCAATAAGCTCAGCCACACTAAACTCTTGTCTCTTGTGTTTTAGAAAAGTAGCAAAATTCTTCCAAGAAGGTGACAGCTTAGCGATTATACCGTCGGTCATAAACTTATCGGGTAACAGACATAAAAAATGTTCTGGTTCCTTTGCTAGCGCCTGTATCTCATGAGCCTGTTCTACTACAGAACGGTTTTCAACCATTTTAAAGTCATACAGCTGCTCCATAAGGTACAGCTCACTACCAGCATCAAAAACTTTAAACTTTGTCTCAAGAGCATCCCATAATTCTTTACCTGATGTGTAAGATATGTAGTTTTTCTCATACTTATTATGAAGTGCACTAATCACAGCGCCTCGAAACAGGTTACCGGTAGCCAAGAACTTTTGCTTCTCCTTAGGAGTAAATTGTTCAGGGTTCCCCTGTGTGGCGTGATAGCAGTTCATAGCAGTCAACCACAATATCATCTTGGCACGTCATATCATGAAATTATTGCCATCAAAATTATTTTGCTTCAAAGTAGCAGCAAAACCACTGACAGAAAATTGCCTAACATTAGATTTTTGGATTGTTAGAAAATTAGGCATTTTCATGGTCAATTTAATCTAGAAATAAAACATCAGCAGGTTCGTGACGACATATATGTGCATGTGTATATCTCTAACAAACGCTACAACATGCAAATATGATATACTGATCGATACAGTAAGTACGCAAAGTACTGTAATCACAGAGATAAGAGTGTACCCAGCGGGGGGTCCCATGCCGAGGGCATCGGAGGCTCCATTCGCACCAGACATAGTGAACAGTCACCAGGAAGATGGGTTCCGCGATCACCAGGAAGAAGACGTCGGACGAGCAGTCACGGAATCGCTCCCTAAAAACCTAATCGCCGCACACCCCGTGCAAGGTTCGTAGGCGGACGAGAGTTCCGGAGACGCATGCTCTCCCGCTACTCCGAGAAAAGCCAAAGGGCGGCTGAGATGTGGTCTCTCAGAAGCGAAGCAAAAGGGGAGAAGACTGACGAAGGACGCTCTGTTTTATGCCTACGGCCGGGAGGGAGAGAGCCAACGGAGGAATTCAGGAGTCACGGCAGCGCACGCGTGTGACACTCCTTTATCTTTATGTCAGCTTCTTAATTAAAATAAATAATTTTCAATCAAATAAGCCGAGTAAACGTTAAGTCAAAATCCCTAATCAACGATGCCATTGGGGCAATTGCGGCGTCTCCCCACCAACGCGATGACGACATCGAGATGATGGAGGAGGCGGCCGTGAACGCGAACGCAGCCAGAGAATGCCGCGAGGACGAGGCGGAGGAAGGGGAGTGGCTGCAGCATCCGCACGCCGCAGGCGGTGGAGAGACTTCGGCTCTGACGCGAGCCGTCGCCGCGGCGTGCGCGAACATGGACCCCTCTGCGCTGGTGGACGTGCTGCGCCTCAGCGGCAGGAGCTCCCTCCGCGCGTTCCTCCCGGTGCTGCTCGGCGCCCCGGACCCCCACGCCCTCCTCGTCCGCGCCGTCGGCGGCTTCTTGGACTTGGCCTCAGCGCCATTGGGGCGCGACACGAGCGAGTGGTGGGCAAACTGCGTCGCGCTGATCGAATGCGCGCCCCGCCTCGTCGCGCCGTCGCCGGACGCGCTGGCGCAGGCAAAGCGCCTGGCGGGGCACTGGAAGGAGATGGTGGTCGCGGGGCCTGCGGGTGCGGGTGGCAGGGACATCGGCGGGATGGCCGGATGGGGCCTTCTCACCTTCATTGCTTCCTACAGCATTGCCCCGGAGTTCGATGCTGATGAGATCATCCGTCTCTTCGACAATATCGCGCCCCAGGTGAAGGACAACTGCGTTGAGCTCTGCAAGCGTCTTGGCCTCATCGGAAAGATGAATGGTACATCTTCCTCGACTTCGACTCTTAATGATGAATTTACTTGTCTCATATCTAAGGCGCAGTGTGCGTAGATGAACGTTCGTTCACCTGTACGTTGTAGTAGTCTGGTAGTTTACATGTGATTCAGAAATCAGAATGCTCTGAATCGCATAGGCTTCACTTCAGGTGGATGCCAACCAATGCTCTCAATCACTGTCTCCCAGCTAACCACACTTAAAAGTAAAGCACGAACCTTAGCATCCATCCTTTTCTATCCTCTATCTTACTATGCATCTATGGCTCTCTGTCCATGAGAATTGAGGATTTTGGAGACCACCTGTAGGTATTGTACCCCTTTATACATATCCAGAGATCCTGAATACAAACAAGAGAGGAGATAACAGAAGCCAGACTAGGTAATTACCGGGATCAATATATAACAGCTTAAACTTTAGTGTGGTGCCAATCTCTACTTGCTAGAAGTTAGAACTGGATTGCAGTGGCACTGAGAAGCAAATTGCAGAATATTTCGATCTATGTACTTTTCTTCCTTTTTAGTGAGACATTCACATTTATTGGTGCAGCAGTCAAATTGACATTTTAATCACTTAAGTATCTGGTCTTATTTATTACTAGATATGTGTCATATTGTTCTGTCATAGCATCACCTAGATGATTTATGTCAGTCTACTACTTTGGAGGTTGCAAATTGAATCTACCTTCTACATTAGTGTAGGAACAAAAAATATGATGAGTTGCTGATTTTTCTTCCATTGTTGTGTTTGCAGTTATTGCATGTTGTGGAGCATCTTTTGAACTATTCATAGTTTTACACTGCAGACCTCACTATCAGATTTTCTAATTACACTCGTAGCTCGTGGAACTGGAAGGATATCACTATCCCATTGCTTTACCAACTGTGTTGCTAATGTTTGGCTCATTCTTCTGCAGATTCATCAACCATTTCATTGAAAATGGGCAGCCACTCGATGCTATAAGATTGGCATATACTTTCAGTTTGACTGACAAATATCCTCCACTTACCATCATGAATGATTATGTTGTGAATGCCAAGAAGACTGCTGAAGACATACTAAGCAAGGAAAGCTATACATTGGAGTCTCTGGTATGTTCTGTTTCTTGGAAAGGATGCCTTGTTATGCTAATCCAACTTAAATGAAATTGTCCATTTATCACACCTGTAGATTTTTTTAGCTTTGAGAAGTCCTGGATTTGGAAAATAAAATACAGCGTGCTCTCTTGCTTTTCTGAAGCAAGTTTTTCATAAATCTTAAAGCAGTACAGTTGAGGAACTAAATTAGGTTTGGATGTGCACCGTCACTGATCTAGGTTTGGGTCAGATATCGCCCTTTCTTCTTATAATGTAGTGGTTTCAACTCTAGCCTACCCCAACTTGTTTGGGACTTAAAGGCTTTGTTGTTGTTGTTGTTGTTGTTGTTGTTGTTGTATCCCTCTTGCTTTGAAAGTTGTATTGCTTGCTTTATGTAAAAAAAAATGGAACATCTTCCTGGATAAATTGTTGTGTCCACATAATGACATATTGATATCATACTTTCAACACTGATATAGACATATAATGCTTTCAACTGTTTTAACACATGTGAATCATCCGTTGAGCAGAATCAAGCGATGGCAAAGAAGGTTGATGCTCTAATATTTTCATGGAGCGCAGTTGATGGGTGTGATATTGATTCTGTTCAGCGTAATAGCATCAAGGCAGAAATTACCCAGTTGTTACACAAGTATGCAAACAAGCAGCAAAGTCTAGCAGGTGTTTCAGCCTCCATTTCAAGTTCGCACCAGCAGCAGAATTTTCAAGAGCAGTATCAGCAGTGGCCACAAATGCGACTGGTGGAACAGCAGAAGCAGCAGCGACAGCCACATCATGGACTGCAGCCAAAACCAGGAGAGAAACAGCACCAGCAGCAGAAGCCACAAAAGACGCAGCATCGGCACATTCAGAATCAACAAGACCCGCAGGAGCAGGAAATGTGGCAAAACCGGAAAAGGAGAGGACAAAACAAAAAGAATCGCAAGAGGAAACAGCGCAGGCAGAAACTGCAGCAACAGAATAAACGCCCAAGGCTACCATTTCCATATGTCAGGCCAGGAATTAACAACCAGCATTAACATCCTCAATTTTCCTTGAAAGAAAAATCCACAGAATGAATTTTAATATGATAAAACCAAGAACTGATTCGATCATATTATCATATTTCAGTCGATGTCACAGTTATACATCATATGATTACAAGAATACAAAATATTACATCACTGGGGAACACACCTGTTACAGAGTTAATCTAGCGGAAGACTATCGAATGAAGGCTCCTCTTTCACGGGTCATCATCAGAGTTGGCGTAGTGCAACGTAGATTTCATCTCCGAACCAAACTTGAGCGTAGGCACGAGACCTTCTAATCCTTCTAAAGTCAGCATCTCTGAGAAGCAGAAAATCTGCACACTGCCAGATGTGTGCAGGCCATGGTCAGCACTGATGAGCTTTAGTGGAAAAGATAAACAAGGGATCTGGCGATCCTAATATTTGGCTGTGGTTTGCATCCAGTAAATAACATTAGTAATATAGTAATTAATATCCAGTTTTTAACATATTCACCACCACACCATCCATTTCCATCCACCAACCATCCATCCCAAACCATCTCCACACCACCATGCTATATCTCATCTCACACACTCAGGTCGACAGGCCAACTCCCTCTCGGCCATGTCTCAACAGCCCGCAGCCCCCAAGGCTCACGACCGGAAAATACCCCAACCCTGGAGGGAGGAAAGAAGGACTCATCTCCTATCTAGTTTAAGCGAAACCCAGGAAAGGTCCATAGCCGACAAGTCGGCATATGTATCGATCGATCAACCATACACTCTGCAGAGGTTTTACATACCCACAAGATTAGCCATCCTTGGAGTCTAGAATCTCCTAGGTAGAATTCCGATCGCTTGCTAGCCTAGAACGATGTCATCCTACCTCTCAGCCCTGGAACATCCCAAGTCTAGTCTGGGATGGCTGATACTGTGAGTCGTAGACAGAGCCGGAGCCCTCCGGATGTCAAGAGCCGGGTCCACAAGGCCTCCTGAAGTCTCGGAAAGGTGTGGGGGAAAACCGCGCGCCCCGTACCTCCTTGCACACGTTCGCCTAGCCGTAGTGGCATCGCTCTACCAAGTAGTCCGACCGTCCCGCACCATATAGGGCGAGTGGGATGTAAAGGATTCCCGATGAATCTGAGTACTAGTAAGTCCTTAGGGATCGACCAAGCCAGAATATCTTCATCAGGGTTTCCATTTTACGTGCCACCACAGCACCTCCACCCTGGGCTCCTCCCATCACAGGTTCACACCGAAGGCCGCCTCAATTACCATCTACCCGCCACAGGTATTCCATATCCAAGTGCCCAGGTAGCACCACATGCCAAGACTCGTCCTAGGCTCGTCGTTATTCCAGCTCGGTCGACACAACCCTCACTCTCCACGCACCCAAGACACACGCAACACGCTCACACACCACCAAGTCCGGCACCCATAGCTAAACCATTCCTAGGGGGTTCACCACCAGCATCACATCCCCGACATAATGCGAAGAGGAGTTAATAATAAGTATAGTGGTGTAATATGCAAGCAAGCAGGCAAGTAAGCATATATAAGCGAGCGAATGCGCAAGGCAGGGTGACGTGGTAGAGTGGGTTGCATCAGGGTAATAATGGCTCAGGTAGTAGCATGCATCAAAGTACTAGCAAAGGAATAATTTATAAATTGCTAGCAGTTCTAGATATTATGCAATGTCTAATAGGATTCTCTAAAAGAGGGTGCTACCATGACACCTGCGATGTCGAGGTAGTAGTGGTACAAATCTTCGATAGTTGGTGTAGTCGATCAGCAAGGTCTCCTCTTCCCAGGGTCCTGTCGTCGATCACGTTCTCCTTCTCCATCGGGTTCTGATCCAACGTTGTCCTCGTGGCAATTACCTCCAAAACACACTCAAGGCAAAAGAACAAACAATGTTCTAAAAAGGCGACAAGACCCAAAAGGAACACAAAGAGGAAATGACTTGGCCCTCTCGGCTGATGTCCGATCCATGGGCCAAAGAAACATGAGTGGTGGTATGCTGAGCACAAGCTTAAGTCATGACCAAGCCAGTATGGCTTTACGATAAACGGTTTAAGCCAGAGCTTATCCAGAGCAAACACCACGGCTCACGATCTTTCGATCCGGTGTCATTGAATTGATGGGGATTGGAAGTCGGGCCCAAAGAAAGAAGAACGACGAGGTTCGGCTCTTATAGCCTTATCCCGCAAGTCACAATTGGACACGAGTAGCAAACAAGAACGATTAACACTATTGTAACTTGGCTCCAACGTACTTTGGCTCGCCCGCTATGGTAGAAAGCGGTAGCGCAAAGAGATTGGACATCAACGGTTCCCCTCGATCCACACGACACAATAACGTCGGGAGCCGAGAAGAGAGTTGCTCAACACAGCAAAAGATGCGGGGGTTAGCTAGGCACATCCATGTCATGTTCTCAGACACATCTTCGGGAAAGATGGTTTTAGACGTGTAAGGAAAATGGATCCTTGACCCATTTACTTTGGATTTTGGTGTTTGATGACCAACACAACCAAATTGGACTAATGAATTTGCAAGTGTTTGTTTTGTAGTCCAATAGGGTGCAAGACGTGACTTGGACGAAGGCGACGTGATGATCCGATGATCAACACCTCAAGCAAGACCTTAGAAGCACAAGAAAAGACCCAAGATGTCAAGCAAAGTCCAAGCATGAAGATAGGAACCAAGCCGTGCAAGCAAGATCGCAAAGAAACGAGCTCATGAGAGGCGACCGACGACGCCGGACCGGACGCTGGAAGCGCGACCGGACGCTGGACCGGTGGCTTTCGGCAGACAAAGCGACGGGACGCAAGGACCGGACGCTGGCGGCAACCGGACCGGACGCAGAACGCAGCGTCCGATCGAAATCTGAAGAGGTTCCAGTAGCGCGCTGCTCGCGACCGGACGTGTCCGGTGGCGAAGCGCACGGACGCCGGCAACGTCCGTCGGTGAGTTCGCGGCTACAGCGGTCGGACGACCGGACGCGTCCCGTCAGGACGATTCGGCGTCCGGCCGATGAGTGTAATGCGGAGTTCGACCCCAACGGCTACTTTCTCGATGGGGCTTATAAATACAACCCCAACCGCCATTTGAGTAGTGTGGAGCCGAGGAAACATATCAAGAGTGTTGATACACCATTTGAGTGATCTCCACATGCATAGTGCTTAGTGTTTTATTAGGTGATTAGCATAAGTGCTTTGCGAAGTGCTTAGGTTGATTAGACCACCGCTTATGCGCTTGCTCTAGGTGTTTGCCTAGTGTTTAAGTGAGGTTTGCATACCTCTTGCCACCCCGTGCTTGTGAGCACAAGTGTTGTACATCGGAGGGGCTTGAAGTCTTGCGAGATCACACCAACCGCGTTTGTGGTGTGGCCGCCACCGTGTACCGGAGGGAACAAGGCCCATGGCGTTTGGCCAAAAGCTTGATAGTGAAGACGGCGGGGAGCATCCGGGAGAGGCTTGCCGGAAGGCACATCGGAGACCCACTTGCGCGTGGGGAAGGCCCGAGGCTATCCACGGAGTTACCCGACCGGGAGCTTGGCCCTTGCGAGGGATTTCTTGCGAGGGGCTCCAACGAGGACTAGGGGGAAGCTTGCGCGCTTCTCGATACCTCGGTAAAAATACCGGAGTCGTCGACGGGAGTTTGCATATCTCTACCTTGCTCTTTAAGCTTCCGCATTTACATTGATCATATTATTATCATTTGTGGTAGAGATAGCAACACACTAGCAAAACCGTAGTTGCACATCTAGATAGATTATCTTTTGCATAGGTTTTGCTAGAAGTAGAAAAAGAGGCCATAGTTTAGAGTAAGTTTTTAAGTTGCCTAATTCACCCCCCCCTCTTAGGCGTCCACGTGTCCTACAAGTGGTATCAGAGCCAGGTTGGCTCATATTTGGACCTTTGGTTTAACCGCCGTTGAGCCGACGCTATTGTAGAGTGGTGGGGATGGATACCGCTAGGCCTCCACAATTTGACGGCTCTAACTTCCCATACTATAAAGCTAGAATGGCTTGCCACCTTGAGGCGGTTGATTTAGGTGTATGGAGAGTCACTCGTGACGGGATGAAACCCATCAAGAATCCCGAAAAACCCACAAAGAGTGATGAAAAAGAAATGCATTTTAATGCTAGAGCTAAGAATTGTTTGTTTGAATCATTTAGCATGGATGTGTTTAACCAAGTGTTCACCTTAAATACGGCACATGAAATTTGGTTAAAACTTCAAGAGCTCCATGACGGTACAAGTAATGTCCGTGAGCAAAAACATTGTCTAGCTAAGCAAAATTATGATTCCTTTGCTATGAATGATGATGAGCTTGTTCGTGATATGTATTCTCGATTGAATCTAATTATCAATGAGCTCCATTCAATAGGATTATTAAAGCTAGATGATGCGGACATCGTGAGGAAGATCATCTCCGTTCTACCACAAAAGAAATATGCAAGCATCATCACCATCCTTCACAACATGGAGAACTTGAGCACCATGACCCCGGGCATTGTCATTGGCAAGCTAGTGGCATTTGAAATGTCACGTAAGATGGGTCAAGGAGAAGCATCTTCATCAAGCAAAGGCAAAGCTCTCGCTTGTAGCGAAAAGAAAAAGATGAAGGGCAAGAAAGTTGAGTCAAGCTCAAGCTCAAGCTCCTCAAGTGAAGAAGAAGAAGATGAGGATGATGATGATCAATCTTCCTCCTCCACCTCCGACCTTGATGAAGAATCAATCAAATTAATCAACAAGGTGGAGAAGATGATCCAAAGGCTCAATGTCAAGGGTGTGCCCATCCAAATTCAAGATCTCATTTTCACCAATCAAAGAAATGAGCAAAGAAAGAGAGGATGCTACGGATGCGGCGAGATGGGGCACTTTGTGGAAGTTTGTCCAAACAAGCCCACACCCAAGACAAAGAAGAAGGCGTGCAAAAACAAAGCCCTCACAACAATAAGGTCATGG